ATCAAAGCTTATATGATGAGCAGTCAAATTATAATTAGAAGCATGATTCCTATAATAAAAACCAACAGTCCTATCATTCACAAAGGGAAAACTACAGTCACCATACACAAGATGACCATTGTGATGTGAGTAGATATGGAGAAGATAATAGAGGATATGGTGGGTCACAGGGAGGAGGTGGAGTACATAGGGGATATGATAAGGATGGAAGAGATCCTATGACAGGATCAAGTGGTGGTGACTGCAGTGACTTCAAAAATTTTTGTGGTCACAGGGATTATGGACCCAGACCAGATGCTGATTCAGAATCTGATAATTCAGATAACAACACAATCTTTGTACAAGGACTTGGGGAGGGTGTGTCTACAGATCAAGTGGGAGACTTCTTCAAACAAATGGGAATTATTAAGACAAACAAGAAGACTGGAAAACCAATGATAAATCTTTAGATAGACAAAGACACAGGGAAGCTAAAAGGAGAGGCAACAGTGCTATTTGATGATCTTCCTTCAGCTAAGGCAGCCATTGACTGGTTTCATGGAAAAGAATTCCATGGCAACATCATTAAAGTGTCTTTTGCCACTTGAAGACCTGAATTCATGAGAGGAGATGGAAGTGGAGGTGGGTGGTGAGGCCGTGGAGGATATAGAGACTGTGGAGGCTTTCAGGGGAGAGGTGGAGACCTCAAAAATGGGGACTGGGATTTGTCCTAATCCATCATGTGGAAATATGAATTTTGCTCAAAGAAATTCCTGTAATCAGTGCAATGAGCCTAGACCAGAGGACTCTCGTCCCTCAGGAGGAGATTTCTGGGGGAGAGGCTATGGTGGAAAGAGGGGCTACAGAGGTTGTGGGGGCAGAGGTAGAGACCGAGGTGGTTATGGTGGAGTCAAAAGTGAAGGGGGAGGCTATGGTGGAGACAGAAGTGGTGGCTATGGTGGGGACAGAGGAGGTGGCTATGGAGGAGACCAAAGTGGCTATGGTGGAGACCGAAAAGGGGGTATGGTGGAGACCGAAGGGGGTATGGTGGAGACCGAGGAGGCTACAGAGAAGATCAAGGGGGTTACTGAGGAGATCAAGGGGGTTATGGAGGAGACTGAAGTCAAGGGGGCTATGGAGGACACTGTGGTTGTGGTGGCAGCAGAGGCTATGGTGGAGACCGAAGTGGAGGCTATGGAAGAGACCAGAATGGTGGTGGCTGTGGAGACCAGGGTGGTTATGGAGGCAAAATGGGAGGAAGAAATGACTTCAGAAATGATCAACACAACTGACCATACTGATGGCTGTTTTGAATGTTCCTTTGTCTCTGACACAATCCACAGTGAAATTGCCAGTTTTGCCTGCTGCTTTCCTCGTGGTCTCTTCTCGGGTAGGGAAATTAAATGACATTTGGATTTTTATTTGGGTGAGAGGGCTGGGACAGTTTTTCTTTTAGAAATGTCATTGAAATTTCCCTTTTTAGTTTCCCACCTCCTTCTCAACCCTTGAAGCAAAGTGCATTGTAAAATATTACCAGAATGGAAAGTGTTTTGTAATACTACAATAAAGTCTGCTTTTTTCTGTAAAAAAAAAAAAAAAAGTAGATTGTAAGTCAAATATACAGTATGAATCTGAAGAAAAAAATTAAGATTAAACAATATTCAGAAAATTAAATATTAATTAATTCAACATTAAATATTTCAAAACAATTGAACTAAGAAAAATTTTCATGATAGTAAAGAATTACTAAGAATAAAACATAAGATAAATGCTGGAATGGCAAATATATGACCAGCCCTTCTAACAGTCGGGGGATAGGATATTGTTCAGAGTTCTAGTATGTCATGGACATGGACAGTGTCCATGATGCTTGTTGGCGGCCAGATGTCACTTGTGGGACTGAGCTACTGCTATTTCCTTGATATCCACCCTGCAGACCAAGACAGAATCATGACCCATAGGGTGCAGGAGAAGTCCATTTGTAGAGTATGCTGATGGAAATATTTTGTGCTGTATACAAAAGAATAATGGAAAGTTTGCTTTTTTATATCTCTTATTGTCCTGTGTTTAATTGTTTGCCCTATTTGGTGGGTTCTTTCCATTCTCATTCATGGAGTAATGGTCATTTTGATCCCTCTCTAGAATATCTTTTAGTAGTCTGTGTAAGATTGACTTTGTCATCATGAAATTCTTTAGTTGTTCTTTGTCATGGAAGTATTTCACTTCTCCACCAAACTTGAAAGAGAGTTTTGCAGGGTATATTAATCTGGGTTGGAATTTGTTGTTTTGCAAGACTTGTAGTACTTTACTCCATGCTCTTCTTGACTTAATGGTTTATGAAGAGAAATCTGCCATTATTTTGATGGGTTTTCCTTTAAATGTGATCTGTTTCTTTTCTTAGCAGTGTTTAGTGTACTGTTCCTATGCTGAATTTTTGGGATCTTGATTATTATATGTCTGGATGTGTTTTTAATTGGGCTGATGTTATTTGGAGTTCTATATGCTTCAACTACCTGAATGTCTGATTGTTTCCTCATATTTGGGAAGTTTTCTATTACTTCTGTCCATATTCTTTTTATATCATTTGTATTGACTCCTTTCTCATTAATGCCTATTAATCCTCTGTTGTTCATCTTTGCATTGTCTTGCAGATGTTGAATTACTTTTTCCTGCATCCTAGTTGTTTTTAAGAGATCTTTTCTTACCATTTCATTAGCTGCAATGTTGTTTTTAGGGTCTGAAAGTCTATTTTCACTTTCATTCAAATGGTTTTGCCAGCTTGTGGTTGAGATTTTAATTTCCTGTATAGCACTTTGAATCTACTTCATGCATTCTGTTTCTTTTCTATATTGCTCATTCAAGGATTCCATCATTTTTCTATTCTCTATTTTTTTTATCAGTGTCTTCATTTAGAAACACCTCATGTTACTTTCATTATAGTTATCATTTCTTTTTTTACTTCAGAAATTATTTCTGTAAAATAAAATTTAAAAAAAAAGAAATTATTTCTGATCTGATTTCCTCTATACCTTTCTTTACTTCCAACGCTATTATTTCAGTGATTTCAGGTATGTGATTTCCAATTTCTTCTATGCTAGTGTCTCCTGCATTTGTTCTGGGTGGGTTTGGGGCCTGACAATGCATTTTGCTCCTTCTCTTTGTCATTTTGTATAACAATGTCTTCTTACCTTTGGTGTAGAGCTTAGATAGAATTATTAGCTTAGCACCAGGTCCGCATCTACCAGGTTCAAACTCGCCCAGGTGGGTGTGGCTTGGGTCTGGCTGCTGTGCTCCACTTCTTCCTGCTGCAGCCCTTGGAGGTGAACCCTCTGTGCCACTCTTGCAAGATGTTCTGCTCCTGGATCAGCTGGGTGGGTCTTGCCTCTAGCCTCTTAGCCTGTCTGAGGTAGGAAGTTCTTCTCACATGTGGGCCTGGGCTGGGTGGAATGAGGATCCAACAGGCCCCAGGTGGTCTCACTCACATATAGTGCCCTGTCAGTGCAAAAGAACTGAACTTTTGACTTGAAAAGCCCCTTCAGCCCTTCTTATCCTCCTTATTTATAAAAGTTTTGTTTTCAGTTTTTCCTTCTTTTCTCATTGTTTTCTTTTTCTTTCCCCTCCCAGTGCTATATATTCCAGGGTTTATTTTACATCACAGTACCTCAGTGTACAAGAAACTCACTTTTATATTAAGCATAACAATAGCTGCTGTACAAAGAAGCCCAGAAGGTCCATGGCTTCACCCAACAAGTTTTATTCTCACTACTGAAGCAGAGCTGGGTTAGTGGGGTGCCTCCTCCATGCTGTCACTCAAGAACTCAGGATGTCTCGCATAGAGCTATCTAACATACACAGTTTCCACAGTGGCCCTGAGGACCCTCCCACTCCAGCCAGCCCAAGGGCGAGTGGGGAGTAGATGAGCCCTGGTCTGAGGGGGGTGGGTTCAAGAGACTTTCTCCTCATGTCTCATGGACCAGAGCTCAGTCACACAGCCCCATACAGAGGAAAGAGGCTGGCGGGGGTGGGCAGGAACATATGTTTCCTGGCTAGGTGTCGCACTGCTATGCTCTGGAAGGCAGAACACAATGTTTTTAGTGGGCAGTAAAAGGCAAGGTATAAACGTGAGCCTGCAGCTTTCTCTGCAGCTCTGCAAGGGCCTCCTATAATTATGGGTTGGACCCAAGGCACAGGGCTATCTGCTGGGTCCCTGTCCTTGGGCTGCAGGGGACTTTCACATAACTACTTCTTTCTACGAACCCACCACAGCCTTGCCAAGCATCTCAATTTGGTCAAAGTACTTCTCAGACTGAGCAATTATGAAGTGCTGGTTTTCAGGAATTTTTTAAACAAAGGATTTAAAAAGCTGAACCATTCTGCTCCTGGCCTCCCCCAAGTGAGAGTAGGCAGAGAATGGGCGGAAGGAAGCAGGAACTGAGAACAAGTGCAGCCGCAGCGGGCCACTTTCCCCACAATTACTCTCTGCTGAATAACGACACACGGGAGATGGCAGTTTGCCCTGGCTAATGGCTCCTGTGGGCTGGGCACTGGCTGCTACAGCGCCAGGCCTTGGAGCAGCTACTCCGGGCCACTGAAACTGGTTTTACGGAAGAAGCTTTCTGGGTTAAAAGCCCAGTGCAATCAAGTGTGGAGGAGCCTCCGGCAGCAGATTCAACACCAACCACGTCTTCTCCAGCTCACGCAGCCGCGGAACTCCAGGCACTCGGCTCATCCGGAGCCAGTGGCAGAGCATCTGCCTGTCCGGAGACTGTGGACTTGGGTGACCTGGGGGATTAAACAAACAGCTGATGCCTCCTCAGGTCAAAAGCACTGAAACAACCGGCATCCGTGTGGCTCTGGGTACACAGAAGAGTGAAGCTGCTCACTACTGAAAATGATGTTTTCTTTGTGGTTCTACTGGAAATTGAACTTTGAGCCTTTGCCCTGAGCCACATCCCCAGCCTCTACCTATTTTTCCTGTTCCTTTGAGACAGAATCTCATTGAGTTGTCCAGGCTGGGCTCAAATTTGGAATCCTCCTGCCTCGGCCTCCCCGTGTGCTCAGGTTACAGGACTGTACCACCATGGCTGGCTTCAAAGGGGTTCTTTAGCGCAGGTCTTTTCCTTAAGAACTGCTCGTGGAACAAGGGTTACACTTCAGTGACAGAAGACATATTTAGGGTGCAAGGCCTCTGAGTTTGTTTTGGTCACAAAAACAAAAACTTAGCTTGTGGCAAAGTCTAACTAAAAGCCAGCTCTCACACTTGCCGTGAGAGGACTGCCGAGTAAGGCATACCTGAAGCAGCGCAGGCCTGAGCAGCTTCCTGGGCTCAGAATGAGGACAGCTCAGCTGTCACAGCCACTAACAGGTGGTGTAAGACAATAGCTCCGGACTCCACTTGCGTCCCACACCCTCCAGCCGCCAAGTGTCCAGCCAGACAGCGCCAGGGAGTCACACAGGCTGCCACGCTGCTCCGGATCCCCACCAGCACCCACAACCCATGGAGCCCCAGCCTTTCCTCCTGCTCTTGGGCCTCTGCTCCGGTAAGTGCGGCTCCCAGACCGCAGTCTTGCGTCTTTGAACACGGAAGGGCAGGCTCTTGCTAGAGGCTACTCTGCCACTTTCTTCCTGAGGTTGGCTTGACTGGGTTTTTGAGTGAAGATTTCTAGATTGTGTTACCCACTTACCACAGGAGCTGCCCGATTAAGGCCACAAGACAGACATTCAGGTCTATCTGTGCCTGGTGTCCGACTCTGCCACATGAACACTCTCAGGCCACTGGTAGAATCTGGCCCACAGCTGGACCATGATAGCCTGGGCTGCTCTTAAAACTGAACAACCAGAGAGACATGGCGCAGGAACTCACACAATACAAATAGCTGAGTTAACAAGGCCTTTGTCTGCTCTAGGCCAGTTCAGATAATGAAGAGCATTGATTGACAGTTACAAGTGTTGGAACAGAAACCTGTTAATAACTGTAACTAAATTCCATGGAGATGAAATAGTCTGTACATTTTTTTTAAACTTCTGAAGTAAAAAAATAAATAAAGCCCATCTGAATGTCTCTCTGCCTACTTCCTTTTAAAAGGATGTTGCTATATGTAGAAAGGGGTATGAATTGAAACTATAAAAACTTGTACAGCCTTTGTCCCGCATCCTACCCTGGAATGGGACGCAACCCAACAAGTGAAACACTACCCTGAATCCCCAACTTGTGGGAGAGGGAAACAGGAGATGTTTGCTGTTATCTCAAGTAAAAGTTTACTGGTGATATCACCCCAGTTGAGAAACAAGCTGTCTGACATCCTGTGATTTCTCTTCTCTAATATTGCTCTGGCAAACACAGGCCTTCTGCACAAGAATGAAGGAGTTGCATTATTAATTTTTTTCTGTAATAAATGTTGAAGGAAATAGTCTAAATTCAGATAAGTTCTGTCTTGTGATTTGGGCTCAATCCAACCAAAGCTAGTCTGGTATGTACTTGTGTGTGCACATGCATGTGTCTGTGTGTATGTGTTTATGAACACCATGCTCAATGAAAATTCTTTAGCTATATGCTTCTATAAAAATACTTAAGAGGTCTTTTAGGATACCAAAGCCCACTAAAAATGGTCTTACATTGAGCTATTAAAAGAAGTAGGTGATACATACTTTGATCAAACCTTGAGTTCACTGGTATGGATTTCCATGGGTGCTCATAGGAGTTTAGACAAGAACAGGCAGCCCAATGTGCTCAGCGTTTGATTGTAAGGAACTTGATTAAAATATGAAATGACTTGGCAAATCACTTCATTTATAATTTCGGATTGTGATCAACTGGAGAATTGGTTTGCTGCATGCATTGTCAGAAAACCTGAAATTGCCAAAGAAGCAAGAGAACCCACATCAGGTTGAGGTAAGAATTACCTAAGGTGGTTATTAACATTTTAAATTTCCCTTTTCCCAACCCAAGTGGCTCTTTCCTACATAAAAATATAATATAGACTGAGCCAGTAGGTTACAGAAAGCACAGTTTGAAACTGTGGTTGAAATTCTCTGCTTAGAATGAATTCTTCATGGGCAAAATTCTCATTCATTTCAGGTACAGTTTTTCCTGTGTTAGCTTAACACATAACCTTCCCTGTTCTATTTATATAGCACCTTTCATTTCAACATTTTCTTCTCTTCCGCCTCCGGAGTCCTAAGTACTTCATTGCATATCACTTTCCAACTTCTTCACGGTTACTTATGTAAATGACAAGTGCTAATCTCCATGAGGATAGACAGAGACAGGATTCGTGCCAGATGCACCTTCCAATACCTCAGCGCTCCTAAAATGATATTAGCCTGGGCAAACACTCAATAAGTATTTGATGAATGAACAATGTTACCATCTGAATAAAGATTACTAATATCATTTTGCAAAAGGAAGAAGATTTGATATGATTTATTTGTCTGCTTATGTTTCCCTGGCCCTTTTATGAACACTGTTTACTGTGCCAACTCTCAAACCATACTGGAATTGGACAGGAAATCATAGAATCTGCCTTCCAGTCTTATAAATTATTCTGTCCCCTTAGCCTATACCAAAAAAGCCAATCTAAGAAATGGAGACCCATGCTTAGGTGTGGTAGTACACATCTGTACTTTCAGCAAGCACTCAGGTAGGCTGAGGCAGGAGGGTTGCAAATTCAAAAATTCAAATCCTACCTGACCTATCTAGCAAGACCCTGTCTTTAAAAGAAAAAGGTGAGAGAGTTGGCTCAGCATAGAGTGTTCCTGGGTTCAGTCCCCCAGTACTGAAAGAAAAAAGAAAAAGAAGAAAGGAAAGAAAAAGAGACCTATTTGGAAATTTCTTGTGAGAGGAACAAGGCCTCTTGCCATTGGCTAAGTGGGACAGAAAGAGGTAAATGTCATTACAATACTGACAATGCTGTTCCCCAAGTTCCCCTCTTTTCCTTAGAGGGCCATCACTTGGCCAGAGGGCTTTCTGACAGTTTTCCTGTGATGCACTTCTGGCCACCTACTCTATCCGTTGCTTTCTAGTATGTCCTCCCTACCAAACTGGAATAAACAGTCTTCGAAATCCACAACCCAGACCAATGGCAGAAGCATCATGGCACTCACTGGTCGTCACCAGGTCCCAGTGTGCATGTGGCGCAGGTGCAGCCAGAGATGGGCAAGGAGGGGAGAACAGGACAACCCTAGCCCAGGGGTTCAGCGGGGCACTGTCAACACGGGGTCTTTAAGAACACACTCCCTTAGGGCTAGCCAAATAGACCAGTGGATTAAAGCATCTGCAAGCAGCACAGGGGCCAAGGGGTTGATCCCCGAAACTGCCATGCCCGCCCTGCCCCTGGGGCACACTGAGAATGCGATTGAGACTGAGTGTGGTGCTGCGTACCTATAATCCCAGTTCTTGTAAACAGGTGGATCACTATGAGTCCGATCTAGTAGTGAGATCCTGAACACCCTGTAGACCCTTCCCCAAAATACAAAAATATAAAAAAGAACACACTCCCTTGAAGGGTCACTGAGTGCAGGTGGCTCGGGGAGGTGTCCTGTGAAAGCATGGATGGGCACCTTTGGTATCCTTGGAAACTCTGGAGTTCAGAAAACTTGGGAAACCACAAATGAAAAGTTGGGAGAGGTCAGGGGTTTCCTGCGTAGAGTCTGTGTTCATCAGCTTTTCATTACTGTGTCTAAATTCCTGGGAAAAGCAACTTAAAGGAGGGAAAGCTTATTTTGGCTCACAGCTTTGGAGATGAGTCCGTGGTTGTGTGGCTCCTGTGGCCCATGGTGGGGCCAAGCATCAAGGCAGAGAACATGGGTTGAGCAAAGCAGATCATCTTCTGGTGGCCAGAGAGAAGAGAGATAGGAAGAAGCCAAAGGAAGGCAAGGGACCACAGGACCACACAGCCTCCCAGGGCAGCCCATGGCCATGGCCTCCATCTGAGCCTCCTGTTCAGAGCACACTCAGCTCTGACCTCAGCAGTGGGCTAATGAAGTTAGTGCCCTCATGGTCCAACGCTTCCAAAGCCCCATTTCGGAACACAAGAACCGTTAGTGGGGCATTTCAGATCCAAACCATAACAGAGCCATGAACGTAGTGCACAACTCTCCAAATCTCAGTTTTCTCCTTGGGGGAGGCAAGATTAGTATTGATCTTCCTCAGTTGTAAAAACTGAGTAAAGGTATACAAAAACACCTATGAGACTATGTACAATTCTAGCGCTCTGGAGGCTGAGGACGGAACATCATGAGTTCCAGCCCAGCATGATGACTTAGCAAAACTCTCACTCAAAATAAAACATAACACAAAGGCCCTGAGTTCAGTCCCCAGCCTATTTCTCTCTGTCTCTGTCTCTGTCTCTGTCTCTCTCTCTCTCTGTCTCTCTTCCTGTCAAATGTACACACATACACGCACACACACATCCACACTCATCCAAGAAAAAAAGAAATAGGTATTTGGCACATAAGTTGTGTTCTGTTGACAATTATTTTAACTAATTAATAAAATAGAAAAATTATTACTTTTTATACAGCATATTGTTTATAAACTTCCAAACTTAGGACTATAGGAGAAAAATTATTGAGAAAATGATAACCTGTCTTAGAGAAAAATTAGTTTGCACTACCAGGCAAAGAGTGAAAGAACCCCATTCATTGGACACTAAAAGTCTCCTTGGCCCTGGAGAAGTCCCAGCCGCCTCCTCTGCAGCCTGTGTGAAGGGGAGATGGAGTTACATGAATCAGGGCGGATGGGCTGCCTGTCTGCCTCCTCTGATGGTGTATGTGTGACAGCTTGAGTTACACAGATCCTTAGAAGGCACTTGTTAGAATTTGCGATACATTTTCTCCAGGAATAAAGATGCACACAGTTGTGGCCTCCGAGAGACCCAGTGCCACACTTGTTCCATTAAGAGCCGGAACACGGGCACAGCTCAGGGCAACAGGGTAGGTGAGGCTCGCCTTCCAGCCATAGCATCTAGCAGAGGTGGCCCACCTCCCTGGGATGGGAGGGCCACACAGCGTCTGGACAGGAAAGGCTGGACAGTGTGTCCTAAAGGGAGAGGTTCAGAAGATTTCCCCGGAATCACTCATATTTCCAGTAGGAGCCCTGAACCCAGGTTGATAAAATATAGGATTTTTCATTTCATTTAAACATTTTATTTAACTGGGACACTGATCCACCAGAAGTGATTTTTTTTCTAGCTGTATTAAAATGACATAAAAATTACCATTCTGAGGCACACAGTTCATTATAATAAGTGCACTTGCCATGTTAAATGGCTAGCACCACTATTGAGTTCCAGAAGTTTTTCATTTTTTCATGTCCTGAAAGGCAACTCTGAACATGTCAAGCAGTTGCTCCCCCTTGCCGCCACTAATCCCAGCCACAGCACCTTTCACAAGAGGCCCACCTCCCTGAGATGGGAGGGCCACTGTAGATACTTATTCTGGAAATTTCATACGTAGAATCATACAATAGATGCCCCCTTTTGTATAAGTTTTTCCATGAGCATAATGTTTTTAAGGCTTATCCATGTTGTAGCATGTCAGTATTTCATTCCTTTTTGTGGCCAAATAATATTCCATTGTCTGGATATACCACAATTTGTTCGTGCCCTAATCTATCAATGGATACGAGTTGTTTCCTCCCTTTGGGTGTTGCATATATATGTTGTTATTCTTTTGGGTATGCACCTGGGAGGGGGATTGCTGGGTTGCATGGTAACTTTAGCTTGCAGAGAAGCAGCCTTCTTACATTTCCTTCAGTAACAGACCCGAGGTGTCAGTCTCTCCAGAGCTTCACCAGCACTTGCTACTTTCCATTTTGTTATCTGTGGCCCAACCCAGAGCATGCAGACCAGCACCCAGTATGGACTCTCCAAGGCATCATGGGCTCTGAGGCCAGTCCATCTAAGATTTCATGGTCTCACAACCACACTCTGTAATATGGACGCTGACTTTGTGCATGTGTGCGTGCGTGCATGCGCACGTGTGTGTGTGTGTGTGTGTGTGTGTGTGTGTGTGTGTGTGTGTGTTCCTGGCAAATTTGATTCAGCCAGGGCCTGTTGAAAGGAACCCACCTATCCAAAAGCTAAATCCCCAAGGTGGCTGGGAAGGAACAAGTGACTATGCTGGGAAAGGAACTTGAAACAGGAAGGCTGTGCTCCTGAGCCCCGGGGCAGAGGCCCTTGTGCCTTCCATCCCCAGCCCTGGGGCAGAGGCCTTGTGTGCCTCTCCCTCCCACATCCCCCCAGGGCAGAGGCCTTGTGTGCCTCCCCCAAGCTAGTTCCATCTCAGCTCCTCCTGTGGGGGGTGCATAGTGGGACCCAGAATCTGACTGGGGGTGTGCCACTTGATGTCCAGCTGGCCTTGTCCTGGGATCCGAACACGAGACCCGCCTGGTGGCAAAGCTGTTTCACAACTACAGCAGCGTGGTGCGGCCAGTGGAGGACTATCGTCACGTGGTGGAGGTCACTGTGGGCCTGCAGCTCATCCAGCTCATCAATGTGGTGAGCAGCACTGGGGACCCCCACACCCGCACCCCCCACCCCAGCGTGCATCCCTCAGGCTCTCCTTTCCACTTGCTGATGACGGAGTCTTCTCTTTTTCAGGATGAAGTAAATCAAATTGTCACAACCAACGTTCGTCTGAAACAGGTAATTCAACTAGATACTATAATTGCTTTTTTTTTTTTTTTTTAACATACTAGTGATTGAACCCAGAACACAGGATCCTTGCACTGAGCTACATCCGCACCCTTTTTAAAAACTATTTATTTTAGGCCGGGGATATAGCTCAGTGGCAAAGTGCCTGCCTGTCAAGCACAAGGCCCTGAGTTTGATTCACAGTCCTGAAAAGCACACGTCTGAACTCCAGTCACGCCGCAACATCTCCACAGTCCTAAAAAAAAAAAAAAAAAAAACCAAAACATATACTGAGACAAGTTCTAAGTCACCCAGGATGTGTTCAAACTTGTAATCACCCTGCCTCATCCTCCCAGAGCACTGGGATTATAAGTGTGTGCGGTCATAGTCACACATGACACTGTTTATGTTTGCCCTGAAATTAAACCTGTACGCAGAGGAAGTCATGTGGGTAAGAAGGATACATACCAAAACACCGATAGCAGATTCTGTGCCTAGGGGTGTAGCTCCTGCTTGTGTCTACTTTCACTTTGGGCTTTTCCTGTACGTGTACTTTGCTAGGGCTGCCGTAACCAAGTCCCACAAAGCAGGTGCCTTAAACAGCAGGAAGTTATTGTCTCATGGTTCTGGAGGCTGGCGGTCCAAAGCCAAAGGTCAGCAGTGTCGGTTCCTTCTGAGGGCTGTGAGGGCTGTTCCAGAACCTTCCCCTTGGCCTGTGCATGGCCGTCCTCACGTTCACACGGCGTCCTCCTTGTGTGAGAAGCATACATGTATCTGCCAACACTCTCCTTTTCAAGGACTCCAGTGGTATGGATGAGGGCCTACCTCACTGACTCCATTTTAACTTGATTCCTCTGGAAAGACTCTTTCTCCAAGTAAGGTCATACTCTGAAGTCCTGGGGTCAGCACTTCAACGTACAAATTTTAAGGGACGACAACTCAACCCATAATATTTTTTTTTCAAATTTACTACAATAGGTATATAGTATTTTGTAATAAAGGAAAATACATAATTTTTTAAATGATATGGTTGTTTGAGAAAAATGTTCACACAGGGTTGTCATTCTCCTTCCTTGAAGGTGGCAGTGTGGCCTTGTGGATCTGCCACCTTCCACGTGTGTGACTCAGCAGTCCCTTTATCTGTAAAATTGGGTCACTAATCCCTCATCATATGGGATTGTTGTGAAGACTGAGGGAGTTAAGAGCTTAGAACAGGGGTCAGGGATATAGCTCAGCGGCACAGCACCTGCCTGGGAAGCACAAACTTCTGAGTTCAATTCCTGATGCAAAAAAAAAAAGAGCTTTGAATAGTACCTGCATGAAGACCACTAAGTTTGCTGTTACTGCTTTCTAAAGTGAAGGCTGAATTCTGAACCAAACTTGTCTTACCAAAGCACCATTCCTGACTCTGACTTAACCAAGCCCATGAGGCTTGTGATAGCCCTAGATTTTTTTTTTTTAATGCTTTTGGCTTTTTAATTAATGAGCTGTCTTCATTTCTAGCAATGGGTGGATTGCAACCTAAAATGGAATCCAGATGACTATGGTGGTGTGAAAAAAATCCACGTTCCCTCAGAAAAGGTCTGGCGGCCAGACTTTGTTCTGTACAACAAGTAAGCAAAGGGCACAGGCAGGGAGTGACCTGCCGGGGCACTCAGGGCGGGGTGGTGCTGTCAACATTAAATAAGCCCTAAAACCCAGAACCTGATGGGCAGGGAGACGGGGGTGGAGGGAGATGGTGCCTCCTGTTAGGAATAGAAGCAATTATTGAGCCAAATGGAATCTGGGCTATGGCGGGATGGGGATGGGGCATTTGATCCAGGAGTACTGAGGGACATGTGGAACTGCCCCAGGTACCCAAACAGCCTGTCCCCGAGTCCTTGGAATCAAATGCCCTTGCTACCACCCAGGTCTGTCCTTGGGAGGAGGGTGCTACTAGTCACCTCCCGTATGCCACCCCGACATGGCTGGCCCTGGATACCTCCGCTGCCCAGCTCTGGGCCCCATGACAGACTGCATGTTGTGAAATTATAATGTGATTCCAGACCCTCTGGCTTAATGACACGCTCATTATCATATGCCCTTCATTTGTCAGGGAATGTTCATCTCAGAGAGCATCCTTCCCAGGCAGGGGCGCTTATCGCCACCCAGAGGATTTATGGTCTGACATTACACAACATGTGCAGGATGGCGCTGTGCCTCCCAGCAGCTGGGGGTGGGGCAGAGGCTGGAAACAAAACCCTGGCCTGCTCCCCAGCTCTGATTGTGTGGGGGGCGGGTGCTGGGCATCAGGGCCTTGTGCGTGGAAGGCAAAAGCTCTACCATTAAGCCACGACCCCAGCCCCAGCTTTGATTTTCTACCATACACTACCCAGTTACGCTCAGCATACAAGCCTGAGTTAAGTTACCCAATCAGAGGTGGGTCCTTTACGGGCAAAGATGCTGATAGAGCAAAGTGTCTAGGTTGCTGTCTTTTTAGGAAGAAACGGGACAAGCAGTTGAAGTCCTTGGACTCCTCACTCAGGAACACCTCAGTGGGGAAGGAGCCCCATCTTCCCTGCTCATAGGGAGAGACCTGGGCCATCTATGGCCTTCTGTTCTTTGGAGTATTGGGGCGTGTCCAATGCCTATAGTATTCCAGACAGTCTCACTTCAGCCCCAAGAAAAAAATCAAGGGGAAGAAAATCCGTTGATTTATGACAGAAGGGACCATTGCATGCCATCCTGTCCCTGAACTCCCACGGAGAAAAGTCCCACCTACAGATGTGACACATGCTCTGATTTTTTCTTTTGTGATGCAGGGACAGAACCCGGGGCCCAGTGTGTGCCAGGCGAGCAACCCCCCCCCAAGCTCAGCCTCAGCCCCGATAGCTGCCCCTTTATTACACTGCCCTTTGCAAAGTCCCTGGAACCCAGGTTGTTGGTGGGACAGTAAACTGCCCACTGAATAAGGCCTGCTGAAGCAACTCATTAGTAATGTTTTTTAAAAATTGAGATATTATTGCCAGCATTAGAAAATCAGGAAATAGCACATTAAAAATCTAAACTTTTAGTCTCTCTGGAAAATATCCCACACTCAGAAATTTGGAAATTTTCAGGCTGGGGACATGGCTCAGTGGCAGAACACTTGCCTTGAATGTTTGAGGCCCTGGATTTGATCTCCAGCACTTACCCACCCCAGGAAATATTTAAGTAAAGTAATCTTTGTTTGGGGCAGGAGGTGCCTAGTATACAACTCGAGACCTTGTGCTTGCCAGGCAGGCGCTGTGCCACCGAGCTATATCCCTGGCCCCCAGGTAAAGAAATCTTGATTTCTAGCCTTGAGCAAGAATCCAAATATCTGGAGCAGCAGGCCCCGCTCCTGCACGGGCGGCATGGGCAGCTGGCATGGTGACACCTGTCTGCCCCCAGTCTCCACCACGTGCATGCATTTCTCACCTGCCTGGCTCTGGACACAGCTGAGCATAAGACCCCCCCCCCAGCTCAAAATTGTTCTTTAAGACCCCTTCCGTAGTCTGCTTGCCACTGTAATGAACCACCGCCGATATTTTTATTTTCAGAATCCCAGATTTCCCCAGCTCACTCTCAAGGCATGTTGGGAAAAGATTACATTACAAGTACCACCAAGACTGAGAAGAAAAGCTAAGAGGCAGTGGACTCCACTGTCCCCCAGATGCTCTGACTCGGGGCTTAGACAGCTCTCAGGAGTCTATTTTCAACCAGACCCCCAGCGATTCTTAGTACCAGGCAAATTTGGGAAACACTGCCAGAGATTCAAAGACACTATCCAAAAGAAAGCTTTTATAAGTAATACCTGGAATAATGAACAACTGTCTCATTAGTGTCTCCAAGTAAAGGGAAGGGTCCTCAGGTCCTGGGAGCCACTCTGTTATCTTGTATGCAGCGCAGATGGTGACTTTGCCATCGTCAAGTTCACCAAGGTTCTCCTGGATTACACGGGCCACATCACGTGGACACCTCCAGCCATCTTTAAAAGCTACTGTGAGATCATCGTGACCCACTTCCCTTTTGATGAGCAGAACTGCAGCATGAAGCTGGGCACATGGACCTACGACGGCTCTGTGGTGGCCATCTATCCGGTGAGTGGTGACTTGGCACGAGGAGCTGCTTTCAGGGGCTATGTGCTTTGGGTACCCACTGCTGCTCCTGGATAACCCTCAGATCCTCAGTCAGAAGTTGGGGATCACCTAGCTTGATGGCTCTCAGTGGGTGGGAAGGGTTCTTTATATGATGCACATGACCACTGGGAATGCAAATGAATTTCCTGTGCTCAGCATTGCCTCAAGAATTCTGATCTAACCCATTTGGGTTGGGGGCGGGCGCTCATATATTTTAATGCTCCTACACGACTGAAATATGGAGCCAAAAAGACTCCCAGTAGTCCAAACCCCCTTGTGTTATACAAAATGAACCTAAGCCCCCGAATCAGTAGTGGCCCAGGGTCCCTTCAGGAATGTGAGCCACTAGAGTGGCAACTGTTGTCTTGTGGCTGCTGATTACAAACCTGCCCTCCTCGGGGTGACTCTTGAGGGTTTCCCAGCCTTACTTCTTTCTCAGGAAAGTGACCAGCCGGACCTGAGCAACTTCATGGAGAGTGGGGAGTGGGTGATCAAGGAGGCCCGCGGCTGGAAGCACTGGGTGTTCTACACCTGCTGTCCCACCACCCCCTACCTGGACATCACCTACCACTTTGTCATGCAGCGCCTGCCCCTCTACTTCATAGTCAACGTCATCATCCCCTGCCTGCTCTTTTCCTTCTTAACCAGCCTGGTGTTCTACCTGCCCACAGACTCAGGTGGGTGCAGTCAATGTGTCTGCTGCTGCTGCTGCTGCTCTTTTAGGGTGAGCCAGAAATAATCATGTGCTAACAACCAGAGGCACATGGACCCCACCATCATCAGGAGAGGACATGCTCACGAGGTGACCCTGCGTAGGGGTGAACGTGGGCGTGATACAGGGAGAAAAACTGATCTCAGGTGGGTGACCTCCAAGTGATATAGGGAACCTCCAAATGACATAGGGAGGGGGCCTATGAGATGGCTCAGTGGAATAAGCGCTTCCCTGGCAAGCACAAGGGCCTGAGTTCAATCCCCGGTTCCGCAAAAACAAAAACAATGACATAGGGAAAAATGATCTCTGGACCTGACCTGGATGAGTTTGTGTTTTCTAAAACTGAAGAATGAATTTTAGGAACAAATGGAGGTTATGAGCAGAACATATTTATTGAGGGAGAGAAAGCTCCTGTCCAAGAGATGGACAGGAGGGGGGCCCGAGTGGGTAGTTCCCTGGGAAGCTGTCTCTTCCAGGGACTTTTATAGTGTAAAACCATGCAGGGCTAAGGTGGAGAGAATGGGAACTCGCTTAAGGGGACAAGAAGTGGGACAAAACTATGGTCAACCAATGGGATTAAAAGCACCATTGCTCAGGTAAAATTGATTAGGAGGACCAAATGGGGTAGCGAGTTATGTAACAAGCGGGCATGAATGTAAAACAGGACCTTATCTTGTGGCCTTCAGACAATGATTCTTCCTGAGTAATGAATCAATCCTGGATGCCAATCTTTAGGGAGGTTAGCATTTGTTTGGTCTTTAGATCTGGCTCACAGCAGGAGCATCTGTCCCTCCCACAGTTGTAAGGTGTCTGGTCTTTGTTATCTCCCTAGAGGGCCTGACCCTGACTGACTGCCTATGGTATTTCTAACTCGGCTGCCTGCAACAGGTGGAGCTTACAGCCAGCCAGCCATTCAGAGTAGACCTAAAATGCACAGCCGTAGCTTAGCCAAGTTCAAAGGAAAGAACCACCAACACCTGTTTGCTCAGTACCAACTGTGTGCCCATCGAGGGGCTGCGTGGGCTATCTGACCACGCTGTCTGAGTCCCTTCCCCATGTCACTCTCTGTACACTGACAATCTGGCTCTTGCTCCTTTACTCACTGTCTGCTACTTGAAAAGAGCTGCTGCTGTTTTCCAGATGGCAGTGTCTGTCCCCCTGAGATTGTGCTTCCCGATGGCAGTGCCTACTCGCACGTCAGCCCGAACAACTTATTCACCCCTTCCTGGGAATCACACCTGTGGCATAACTGCACCAGACACCAGCAACCTAGCGGCAAGGAGGAAGGGGACCCATATGCCCACCAGCAGGGCCCTACTCAGGAATAGTTTATGGCAGACAAGTAGGGGGAAAAGATCTTGCCAACAGCCTGCAAAATCGTGCCAGGTAGCCATTTTATCAAAATGATGTTAGAAAGCCGCTAGAGTTTATATCCAACTTTCCAACAAGGAAAATAAACTGCGCAATCATTCAAAAAACGTGTGCTGAGCAAGTGTCAGGTGGCAGGCGCACAGCAGGGTCTACTGCAGGCACGTGCCTGAGGGCTTCCCACCCTCCAGGTGAGAAGCGGCAATTTCTTGTTTTATCCATTGTGTCTCTGGCATTTACAGTCACCCTTCTCAGTATCCGATGGGTCTGGTCCCCAGACCTCCAGATACTTCAATCCACAAGTGCTCAAGCCCCTTATATCAAAAAGCGTGGTGTTTGCACACAGCCCACGCCCATCCTCCCGTGTGCTTTAAATCATCTCTAGTTCTTCTGGTAGAGTACTTAGCATAATGTAAATGCTATGCAAATCATTATTGTACTGCATGGCTGAGGGCAGTGCTGGAGAACCTATGGCATGAGCGCAGAGCAGGCTGTTCGTTATCACTGAAAGCTCTGAAGGTTCATCACCACTGGTTTAGGGCACAATGCCGTGAAAAAGGTCTGTGTTCAATACAGGTACAATTTTATTTTTCCAAATATTTTCCACCCAAAGTTGGGTGGGATTGTTGGATGCAGAATGTGCAGATACAGAGGGCCAACCGCAGTGCTAGTCTAGCAGCTGGCAGCGCCCAGAAGGGGGAGCTCCACTCCAGAGCGAGGGACACCACAAGGCGTCCCAGGAACAGTAGCAGCAGGACGGGCCCAAGGCTTTCAAGAGTCCTTTGAGATAGCTCAGCAGACTGAATCGCCTGCTTAGGCAAGCACAGGGCCCGCGGTTTGATCCCCGGCACCACATGCCGTGCTAGCCCTGCCCCCATGGTGGGCTTGAGAGGGCCACAAGAAAAAAAAAGAAAAGGAAAAGAGAGAGAGAGAGAGAGAGAGAGAGAGAGAGAGAGAGAGAGAGAAGGCCACCTCAGTACCCTGTAGCCCCTACCTTCCTGCAGTCACATGTGCCCAGCCAGGACTCCTGAGAGTCAGGGTCGGCCATGTGTGCCCAGCCAGGACTCCTGAGAGGGTCTAAAGAAACAGGGGCAGCAGGGATTCCTGGTCCCTTAACATGAAAACAAAACAAAGCAAGGAATAAGTGAGAAGACCAACTTCCTCCTAGATAAAAGTGAGAAAGGAGCAGAAAGATCAGATTACTCAGGATGCCAAGGACAACCTCTTTGTCCCCAGATTTTGTTTTTGGCTTTGATCCTGCAGTTTGCTTCCATTCTGAGAGAAATGTATGGATGCTTCCAGCCTGCTCATCCTCCTGCTGGGGAACAAGTGGACCCGGCTGGGGCTGAGCTTTATAAGCTTTAGTGCAGGTTTTCATGGCAGCAGAGTCCAGCTCACCAACCCAGAATCCCATGTGGTTCCCCAACTTTGCAGCAAGAAGCAGAATTCTAGGCCATGAAAGGAAGTAGCCGTGTGTGTCTAGTACAGATGCTTGTTGCCACAAAGGTGCTGAGGTCACACAGCAAGCTCTGCAGAAAATGTCTCCAGAGTAACCTCCCGAAACATGCCAGTCAGGGTTTCAATGATAAGTAGCTTTGAAAGGCTGCCCTAAAAAGGACCACAGATGGGGAGGCTTGAGCAAAGAAATTTATTTTCTCACGCTTCCTGGAGGCAGGAAGCTGAGATCAAGGTGAGGACAGGGCTGGTTTCTTCTGACCTTGGCGCACAGAAGACCATGTTCTCCCTGAGCCCTCACATGGCCTTTTCGTGCAGGTCTGTGTCCCCCTTCCTTCTTATGAGGACACCTGTCATATTGGATGAGGGACCCCTAACTGACCTCATTTTACCTTAACTATGTCTTTAAAGGCTTGATCTCCAACTGCCGTCACATTCTGAGGTCCTGGGGTTTCTTCTTCCCATCTCTCCAGGGGAGAAGATGACCCTGAGCATCTCTGTCTTATTGTCCTTAACTGTGTTCCTTCTGGTCATCGTGGAGTTGATCCCTTCCACCTCCAGTGCTGTGCCCCTGATTGGGAAGTACATGCTGTTCACCATGGTGTTTGTCATAGCGTCCATCATCATCACGGTCGTTGTCATCAACACCCACCACCGCTCCCCCAGCACCCACATCATGCCCGAGTGGGTGCGGAAGGTGAGTGCCGACTCCACAAGGCGACGACCTGGAGGGTGTCCCCTCCCACACCGCCTGGGGAGTTCCAGCTGAGGGCTTGGGGAAGGGAGCTCCCTTGGCTCCTAGGGTTACCTTACCCAGCCTTCCCAGGAAGGGAGAAGGGAACAACAAAGAAAGCTCAGCCCAAATTCACGCTTGAAGAATATCTTCAATTAGAGATGAATAAATCCTGCTGTATGCTGTGACACTGTTAACATCGTGTGTCTTCCCATTTGTGAAGAGACGCTGACTTTCCCTGCTACCAGCTAAGAGTAGAATAAGGACTGGAGATGGAGAAGAATAGAGAAAGTTTGAAAGTGAATTTCAGAGAGGAATTCGGTTTCAAATATTTATATCATTTAATTTTAAAAAGAGTTAACATTTCAAATGTGGCCTCCTTTCCCGCCTTTCTTTTCTCCTTTCTGTGGCACTTGCTGGAGCCTCATACTTGCTAGGCCACGCTAAACCCCTGTCACCAGTGTTCTCTTTCTCCTGATTAACGACAGTCCCTGTTTCTCTAAGAACTGCTAGATGACGCCTTGCAATAGCTTTGCTGCATTTTCTTCAGACACGAGAAACAGAGGGGGACAGTGTGAGTGTTTCGTGACTGCATTTGAGGCAGAGGGGCCCTTTCTTTAATCACATAATCTTGAGAACATTGCTAGGTCCTTTTAGCTGCCAGAAGCGGAAGCGCCATTGTTCCTGGGAGGTCGCTGGCTGTGCACGGGCTCCCTCTGGTGGCGAACTGCTCGCATGACAGGATCATCACCTGCCCGCGGCAATTGGATGGGCCGCAGCGTGTGTGGAAGGAATCTTAGGGGACGTTTAGGGCAGTTCTTTTGTTCTAAGGACAAGGAGGCTGAGGCCTGGGGGTGTGGAGTGACTTGCTCTGTACCACATTGATAATCAAAGACAGTTTGATACTTATATGTGGTGATGATAATTTTCATTCATGGCTTTATTTTTTTTGGTTAGGTTTTTATCTACACGATCCCAAATATAATGTTTTTCTCCACCATGAAAAGACCGTCTAGAGACAAACAAGAAAAAAAGATTTTCACGGAAGACATTGATATTTCTGACATTTCTGGGAAGCCAGGACCCCCTCCCATGGGGTTCTACTCCCCCCTGATCAAACACCCGGAGGTGAAAAGTGCCATCGAAGGCGTCAAATACATCGCAGAGACCATGAAGTCAGACCAGGAGTCCAATAATGTAAGCTCTGTGGCTCCAAATCGCGCTGCTGGGTTTCAGTGATCAAACACACGACCCTAGATGGGAGGGTCGGGCTTGTCAGGTAGCCTCGCGTTCAGGACCAGCTACTGGCCTTAGATAGGTCCGAGCGACCACCTCAGGGCCACCCTAGCAACTGATCGCGATGTGAATAATTAGCCTGAAAACGAAAGACCACAGCTGAAGGGCCAGAGGATGCACAGCGACACCACAGTCTGAGGGCCACCTCTGAGGACTGTGTCTAACGCTCTCCTCCCCACCAGGCGGCCGAGGAGTGGAAGTACGTGGCCATGGTGATGGATCACATTCTCCTCGGGGTCTTCATGCTGGTCTGCCTCATCGGAACCCTGGCTGTGTTCGCAGGCCGCCTCATTGAATTAAATCAGCAAGGATGAGCAGGAGGCCTGGGATCAACCGGAGCAGACCAAGGCAGGAAGGCGGGAGGATCGGCCTGCTTCATCCGCTCCCCCTTAGCAAACTTGTTTTCCTGTGCTTAGGGATGCTGGTGATCCGTGCTTTCGCGTTTTCCTTCCACCCTGCTGTGTCTCCCTGGAGAGTCAGGGTTCGCTAGGGAAGCCCACCTCCCAGGCCCCAAAAGGTAAAGCACTTGTCCTGGGGAGAGAAGAAACAGAAGGAAGTGAAGTAACTTCAGACAGGACACCAACATACAAACAGCACCAGAAGCCCATGTTTAAAGGAAGTCTCTAGAACTAGGAAGTAGGAAAAGTTTACTCAGGTGTTTTTTGTTGTTGTTTTTTGGTTTGTTTTGGTTTGTTTTTGAGATGCTGAGGATTGAATCCAGGTCCTGGAGAGGGATAAGGATGTACCATATTGCTGCTGTGCACCTTTAATAGGGCACCTGATTGGATTCTTGGGGGGCGTAACACTGAGTTTGAGCATTAGGCACTATGGAATCATCTCCCCCATAGGGTTTTATTTCACCCATCCCATAATGTCCTTATTTTAAGAACAAGGAAACTGAATCCCAGAGAGGTTAAGTGCTTTGGGTCAAGCTAGAAGCAGAGCTGGGCTTGGAAGCAGACCTCAAGACTCCAACTGACTCCAGTCCTCTCACTTGCTCCTGGTCACCCCAGCGTGAGGAGGTTGCTCCGGGTCTCTGGCCTGCTTTCTGAGGGCCTCTGGCTTGGAGCCAGCCATCATTCTCCCTCCCAGTTAAGCCTCCTGCCTTCTGTTCTCCATCCTTCCACCAACCAGTGTGGGGTTTGAGTCCAATAAACGAAACCAGAAAACACATGCATGTCATCACCATTTCCAAAATTCTGAAGAAATAAGAGTTGAAATTATTTATTTTATCCATTGTAAACCTTGAACTGCAACATAGTTTAACCCCAAAATGAGAGACTGTGTGGGTTGGGGCTCAGAAATGCCTCCAAATTGCCAGAACACACCTGACCTGGGTCAGCTCCGGGGCACAGCAGTAAGTGGTGCAGGTGCTGTCAGTGCACCTGTGGGGTTTTGCACTCTCCAAACACACCTGTAGCACAGCTGATGCCATCATTTAAGAGTAAGGCCAGGGGCTGGGGAGATAGCTTGGCAGTCTCAGCGCCTGCCTGGCAAGTGCAAGGACCCAGGTTCCATTCCTGATACCAGCCACCGAAACTGGGTGTGGTGGCACACACCTATAATCCCAGAACTGGGGAGGCTGAGACAGGAGGATCACTACAAGTCTGAGCTGTATATCGAGACCTGTTCCACAAAAAAGTAAAGCCATGTCCTGCCAGGCAGGATGCTGCACACCTATAATTCTAGCTACATGGGAGGCTGAGGTGGGAGTGTCCTATTTTTAAGAAAAGCAAACACAGCACCCAAGCACTGACCATGGAGAAGAGAGTGACAAATGACTTCATCCACTTACCTCATTTTATGCACAAGGAAAGTAGGACCTAGGGAAGTGGCCTCTCCAGGAGGCAGAGCTGGTTAGTGACAAGCCCCGTCTCCTAACGCCTGCTTACCTGCTGTCTCCACATCTGCCCAAAGTGGTATCCTCTCACACGTCCCCACTGTGCCCCATCCAGGAAGCTGGGTGCAGCCCTGAACAGATGTAGGGATGTCACAGTCGCGATCCTCAGCCCCATACTGGCCCAGCCATCCATGAAGAGTCCCATCTTTGGCCTCTCCTTCCTTAGTGAAGGCCTGGTAGCCAGGAGGCCACTGGGCAAGCAGGAGAGAAAATGAGTTCAGGGATTCACCCTCACCTAGAAGTGTCAGTGAGAGCCTGGCCCCAGATGATGAGCTTATTTAAAATAAATGACACTTTAGATGAGGTCCCTGGGGTGGGGCTTTGTCCTGGATCTGAGGATTATAAATTCTTTCTCCTCCCTTCCTTCCTCTGTCCTTCCGCTTTCTCTCCTACCCAAGGACACCAGAGAATAGCCATCTTCAAGCCAGGACCAGCATGTGAGAATATAAATTCCTGTTGTTTAAGCAGCCCAGCTCTTGGTTTTGCATGGAAGTCCATACTGGCGAAGGTAACTCTGGAAGTCCAAAATCACAGCATTGACAGGGTCTTCTGGGAGACTCTGAGAGGGACGCTCTTCTGTGGCCTTGTTTCTAACACCTTTGCCATTGCTCAGCTTGGGCAGCATAGCCCGTCTCTGCCCCATCCTCACGGCCTTGGTCCCCATGTCTCTTTGCTTCCTCCTTTTCTGTTTCTATAAGGACCCTTGTCACTCTAGGGATGCTTGTCACTCTAGGGTCATCTCTCCATCCAGGATGATCTCATCACAAAGTCTTGAGCTTAATTACATCTGCAGCTGGCTGCACACCTGCAATCTCAGCACTCTAAAAGGCTGAAGCAGGAGGATCAAAAGTTTGAGCCCAGCCTGGGTGACTTTAGTGATATAGTTAGACCCTGTCACAAAATGAAAAAAAATTTAACAAAAAAGGTTATAGATGTAGCTCAATGTGAAGGCCATCGGTTCAATGCCACCAGTGCAAAAGTAAAACCAAACGACTAACCAGGAAGCAGCAAGGGATCCTGAGGAGGCTGTGGGCAGACATATTCTTTCCAGAGCCCAGAAGGGGGCAGGGGCAGAGGGCGCTGGGCTCACCACAGTCTCCCAACATGCACAACCCACCCCTGCTCCTGATAGAGGGAAATGAAACTCCCAACCTGGAAGATAACTGGGATGAGTTTGTATTCCCTAAAACTGAAGAATGGATTTTAGGAACAAACGGAGGTTAACAGCAGAATATATTTATTGGGGAATGAAAGCTTCTGTCTGGGAGAGGGTGAGAAGGGGGACCTGAGGCAGTTGCCCCACGGAAACCTGCCACTCCTAAGGACTTTTATAGAGTAAAACTATATGGTGAGGTGGGTCTAAGATAGTATGGGAACTCGCATGAGGTGGGACAAATCTATGATCAACCAATAAGGTTACAAACACCGTTGCTCAGGTAAAATTGATTAAATCCAGGACCAAATGGGGAAGTGAGTCATGTAGCAAACAGGCATGAACACAGAACAGGAGTTTATCAGGTAGCTGGTGGTAGTTGGATTAGTGACTCTCCCTGGCTTCCTCAAGGTGATGATCAATGCCGGATGCTTATCTTTAGGGAGGTCAGTATTTGTTTGATCTTTGGTCTTTAGGTCTGGCCCACAGCAGGAGCATCCATCTCTCTTACAATCGCAAGGTATCTTGTCCTCCGTGCTGTCTTCTCTCTGACTGCCTATAACATTTCAGTCTAATTTAGCTGCTTACAACATTTCCACCTGGGCAGAACCAGAACCAGGCAGCTTAGCCTCAGCCCCCATGGTGGGTGCTGCCACATTCCCAGGGTGGGAAAAAACTAAGCCTGCGAGCTCCAGTCCCCCACCCAGCCTGAGGCCACCAGCACCTGCTGATTTTCACATGTGCTCCTAGAGCTAAGAGGAGCCCGCCCCAGCCGAGCCCCTACCCGATCACCAACTTGCGGCCTGAGCCGGGACTCTGGCCAGGGTGGCCGGGTCCGCAGGACACCAAGCCCCAGCTGCCCTGTGCTCACATGAGGGCCTCAAGAAGAGGGGCTTCGATCGCGGTGGGGCTCCCTGGGGGCGACCCTCCCTCCCAGCTCCTGCCTACCCTTCTACCCCTTCGCCACCCACACAGGAGGCCTTTGCCTCTGCAGTGCCCTCTGCTGTCCTGCTTCCGCTTTGGAGCAGGCAGCTGCAGTCCATGGGCTGAAACCGTGAACAAAAATAAACCTCTCCCTTTTATTTTATTTATTTATTTATTTATTTGCGGAACTGGGGATTGAACTCGGGCCCTTGCGCTTGCCAGGCAAGCACTTATCCTACTGAGCTATCTCCCCAGCCCCAACCTCTCCCTTTTAGGTGTGCGAGCCAGACATTGTGTCCCAGGGACGAGGAAAGCGATGAGACAGGCCCTGAGGGAAATGTAGTGACACTGCACCTCGGACGTGGGTCTACCCTGTAGCTGCTGGGATGGAACCAATATTTTTGTTGTGGTGGTGGCAGTGGTGGGCCCGAGGACCTCCAGCGTGCCGGCAAGAGCGCTACCGCTGAGCCACATCTCAGGCCCAGGAAGCCACGTCCTTTGTTTCTACAAATGGACCGTGTCTGTGCCAGCAGTAGGGGATGCTGGGTGGAGCGCGCTCAGAACTCTACTATCTTCCACTTTTCTGTGAGTCAAATCACCCTTCCCTCACAGCTTAAAAATCAGAGCTGGGAAGGAAAGGATTAAAAGGTGGAGGAGGGGACCCAACTGGAGAGGATGTGGAGCAACCGGAACCCCGGGCCTGCTAGTGGGAATGTAAAATGGTGCAGCTTCCATGCCAAATACTCTAGCAGTTTCTCAAGAAAGTACTCACGGAGTAACCCAGCGCTGCACGTCCAGGTTTATGTCCAACAGAACTGAAACCTGAACAGATACTTGTATGCCAATGTGCATCGCGCACCAAGAACCGTGCGCACGGGAGATGGAGGAAATGTATCTGCACATAATGGGATATCAGCCTTGTAAACGACTGAGAGTTTGACATGGATCAATCTTTAAAACATCCTGCTAAGTAAAATAAGCTAATATGAAAGCTTACGGATACGGTTTGATTCCGCTCCTGTGAGCTACCTGGAGGAGTCCGGTTCATAGAAACAGGAAGCTAGAAGGTGCCGGGGGTGAGAGGAAGGTGTTGATAGGTGCAAGGTTTCAACGTTCTGAGGTGGACGGTGGTGCTGACTGCTCATCTTGTGAACATACAGACCACAGAGCCAGGCGCTTAAAAATGGTGGCAACGGTTAGCTCTATCTATAGCTTGTCACATTAGCATTTGTTTTTCTTTTTTAAATTATAAAATGCGCTGGACATGGTGGCACATGCTTGTAATCCTAGCATGTGGGAAGCTGAGGGAGGAAGGTCACCGTGAGTTTGAGGCCAGCTTGAATTAGAATGAAACCCTATCTCAAAAAACTTTTAAAAATAACAAAAACCTTCGTTCTTATCCTTGAAAAAGAGTTAGTGGGTGTGGATTGGGTCAGAATGGGGCACTGACACAGAAACTAAGTTCCTCTCAGCAGAGATATCATCCATCGCTACATACATCCTGAAGGAAGTCTGGCTTTTTTTGGCAGGTATTTTTTTTCTCAGGAATTTAGCTTGAAAAGTGGAGCAGGAATGTTGTGTCAATTCAATAAAACAGATGAATGGATAAAGAAAATGTAGTACTTACACATGATGGACACCACTCTGCCATAAAGAAGGGTAAACTTTACCCACCTGTAGGAAAATGGCTGCTCCTTGAGACCAAGGTGTTCTGGGAAATCAGACACACAAGCTCAATCGCCCATGGTTACTCTTGCATGAGGAATGCATGATATAAAGAGCAAAATAAAAGACAGATGGAATAAGGAAGATTTCAGGACTGTTGCAGAAAAGCAGGAGACCAAGAGATGGAGGGAGGGGGCCGGAGAGGAGAGGAGGGGAAGAGCAAAATGAACTAAGAGGTGTTGCACGCATGTGCCCACTGTGCCCCATGAACGGAATCATGTCCCACACGTGTGCCCTAATTAAAAACAAAACATTTTAAAACTATGGCTCATTTACTACCAGAGGCCTACACCAAGAGGGACCAGAAGGAGCTCGGGAGGCCCGGCCTCTCTCCTGCCCTTTCTGGCCCCTGAATCCTGCTGCTTCTGTCAGCTCTAAAGCCCTGAACTATGAGTCTAAGGTAAGAGGTTTTTCTTTGATCACAACAATGTGCAACATAACAACCAATGTTGAATTCCTATCATCTTTTTCTGAAATCCTATATCATTTCTAATATTTTATCTATTATTTTCTTATTCTCTCTAAAATAAAAACATTAAAATTAAAAGAGTATTCCTGCTTAGCCAGGAAAATAAACCTGTTGGCCAATCTCTGTTTTTTGAATCTCAAAGTAATAATGCTTTTGACCTGCTGTTTCTGTTCTCATTTAGGTAGCCCTTTGCTGTATGCCAATTATCACCCGGTAGTATTTTCTTATCTGATTAGAGCTCTGTTCTGGCTGTGCCTCAACATCCCC